CCCCCCCCCCTCTGAAAAAAGCATCAAAGTCTATGGCCCTCAAATAAATGCAGAATGCAAAATTCTTCAAACAAAATATGTTGTTTATTATCAAATACACAGAAGTACTAATCTGAAATATATCCTGATGAACTGATTCATTCATGTTGTTTCAACTCTTTACTTGGTAGAATCTCAACTTGATCAATTTCTTAGATCAATACAAAATTTGACTAACATTGCCCAAGATTGATCCTGATTATAACTACCTATTCAAGCAAAGTTGCTTTATATCAAGACTGTTTATATTTTGATTGACACAAGAAGTGATCACTGATAACTAATATCAAACCCTAAATGGTCAAAGGTCTAAAAGGAATTATCATACATATGTTTTTCAGGGGCTTGTTTATGGGCAAGGTAGAGAAATCCAATACTTGAAAGAGCACTTATGAGGAAAATCACATCAAACCAACGATGATAAAAATTGAATTGAAGTTCACCAAGTACTTCTGTAATAATCTCCCGGTATTTACCAGGCATGTTCATCCTCATTAACAAGACAGACGAAACAAAGTACATACCCATGATTTCAGCCAAAAAGAGAACAATAATATTGGAAGATTTACTACTCGCCATTGCATTGAAAAACTTTGTCAGTGTTATGAGGAGACCTCTTATTGATGTCACAATTAAGATTCCAATCAAGAAGAATGAGATATGCTGTGACCAGAATAACACATCAAATTTCCATCCAAGATAATTGACAGTTATTTCAATACCACGCGTGACAGGATCAGTCTTGCCAACACGATCAAACACAATGTTTACTGTTGAGATGAAAATCTTCCAAATACAATACCCAGAGAATATATGCCCAACTAAGTCAAAGTATTTTCCTTGCAATGTCTTTGATAATTCCATTCTCTCCTTGGTATTATGCAGATCCACAATTTCCAGGAACAATTGTCGACTAAGTTCTTCCAGAGCATCTACTTCTTTTTGGAGATAACTGGTGTCAGGGCCACCACTCCCTGTCATACTACTGAACATGCTCCAAATTCCTGATAAAAAATAATGCGAAACACAGGACAATAATCCTTTGGTCTTCTAGTAAAATTTACACAGGTACAGTAAACTGTTTGGAAATTCTTAAAAAAAAAGAACAGTTCAAATTTATCCTGCTATATATATCACAACCCTCAGAGTATTATTTAAGAAATGGCAAGGTAACAAGGCACATTAAATTAGCTTGTTTGATCCCTGACTGATTTATTATTTCTAAAGATAGTAGATTACCTCTTAACACCAGAGATATTGTTGTACTGTATACTGCATTGCTAGATGCCTTTCTCAGAGCAATTCTCTGCCTTCACCCTTCCCATTCAACAAAGACATGCAGAGCATCCATCTGAGTTCTCTGAGTGAGGAGGAAGGGGGAGGGGTGGGTTAACTCTGATATAAAAGCACCATACCTGTCTTTTGCTGTGTGGATGCAGCAAAACGCTGGCTTTCCCTCTTTGCCAGAGCAATCCTTTTTTTCTTACTGAGAATTATATCCATTGTTTGGAACTGTCTTCTTTCTAGATTTTGAATATCCGCATCGGTCACGTGTCTCATGAAGTAAGTCATGTAGGTGTAAGGGCAATTAACTGCACCAAATCCAGACAATATGGCCATCATAGTGACCCCGATCACCCCCACTCGGCTGATTCCCTGCTCGATCGAGAATATTCCGTGCTTAGAACTTAAAATTGGGAACGGATTTCCAATTTTCCAAAACATGTACAAAAAGGCAAGCCAAAACGTACCCGCGAGTAGAACCACAATTCTCCTTCTGTGGACAAATCGAATCGTCCTTACTAGGAAATAAGATATATAGAAGGGCAGGAGAAAAATTAAGGTAAATAACATGGAGTAAAGCCCGAGTTTCCAGTGAAAGAATCTTGAACTCTTGTCCAGAATACCAAGAATCTCGAAAATTACGAGCTCAAACATGGTGCACGAGAGAGCGAAAGTTAATGAGAAGACCAGCTGAACGGCCGTGTGGTGTACTTCATAATTTCTAAATAGTCTCCTCATGAAGAACATCCAACCCATACCGAAGAAGAAGAATTGTGAACAAAAGACAACGGAGCAATCCGCGAAAAACGACATTGTGTCCTTGCATTTGCCACGTCTAGCTTTACGCCGAATACCCTTCCGACGAGAAACGACTCTTGCACGATGCTATGCCGATAAATGGTCGCATCTCACACGGAAACTGTGACGTACATGATAGAAATTCCTGAATACCCAATCAACCAATCAGATGATAGGGTGGGTATTTCAAATACTGCTGTCTACAAAGAACTGATCATCAGTTCTAAAACGCTCCTGCAAGGTTGAAGTGAAAGTCATTTGGAACGAGCCCTATTCTACTGTATCATTGCTTTCGCTCAAGTTTTATTTTTTTAACAAGCTAATTTGCAGTGTTTGAATTCTCATTGAAGATGGCAGCCGTTGGACGAATGAATGTGAGTAAAAGTTTTGGTCTTTGTGAATGTCGTTGCATCTTAGTATTGAATTCGTAGTGAATCACTTCTGTAGAACAGCTCACTTCTTAGAGTACCGTTCATTAAATCTCTTCTTTCATACAGGTAATCCGCCATGACCAAGAGAACGAGAATTTACTCGCTGGGAAAGCCAAAATTTCCAAGAACACGAGACCTCGTGCAGCTCTGGGTGACTTGGGAAACAAACCAACAGCGCTCACGAGCAAGGTAAATGTTCTTTTAAATTTGGTTCATCTAATTCTCTGATGGTTTAAAAAGGTAATTGGGCATTTGTCCTTCTTTCAGACCGCTGCGAACCTTGCCGTTGGCGCTAAACCCAAAAGAACTTTACACAGAACCGAAGGAACAAGTGGTTTACTCTCGAAGCAAGCAAAAGACAATGAAACTAAACAACAGAAAAAGACGATTGATATGGGTGTTGTCAGTGAAGCACTAGAGTCTTGTATGTTCGCAACGAAACCTTCAGATGTGATAGATATCGATAAGGATGACCACTCGAATCCACAACTCTGCGCTGAATACGCTCAAGAAATCTACCAGTACATGCATCAATTGGAGGTAAGGAAGACGCCATTTTAATTTCCCCTTGCTTTTGTGTTCTTTGTCTAATTAAAGAACGTCCTTTCACTGAATATTCAAGTAGTTAGCAGTGAAAGATTTCTTGAAGTTGTGTGGTTGTTTTTCAAGGTAAAGGGGTAATTCTTGTCTGACTTTGTCCTTTGAATTTTCAGCGTAAATTCCACGTCAACCCAAGATATATGGGCCAGAGGTCAATAGTAACCGATAAAATGCGAGCCATCCTCGTTGACTGGCTTATCCAGGTTCACAATCGCTTTCGGCTGTTGCAAGAAACTCTTTACATCACTGTCTCCATCTTGGACAGATTTTTGTCGGTGAGTTTGAATCATCTTTTACTTGTCAACCAAAATCCTTTCAGCAAACCTTTATTACTTTTATTGGATATAATCCCTCCTTTGTATCAGAAATCAGCTCTAAGTTTTCTTGTAATATTTGTTGATTTAACACTCAACAAAGAAAACCAACAGTGGCTAGAAATGAGAGATACAATTTCCAGCAAATAAAAGATGCAACTGGCTTTTCTTGTCACTATGGACCTGATAGAAAAGCGCAACTTTGCACAGTTATAAGCACTGAACAGTGTATCTGTACATATTTCTTGAAGTATTGGTCTGACCTCTTAAATCTATTTTTTCTTGTAGATCTATGATCCCACAAAGGAAGAACTTCAATTAATTGGTGTTAGTGCTATGCTTCTGGCCTGCAAGTACGAGGAGATGTACTGTCCAGAGATTAGCGACTTTGTTTATATCACAGATAACACATACAAAAAGGGTCAGATAAGGAAAATGGAGGGTGTTATTTTCAAGCAACTTGAGTTCAGTGTTGGGAAGCCTCTATGTCTTCATTTCTTGCGAAGAAACTCCAAAGCTGGGGAGGTGAGTAATTTTTAAGTTTATGATGGCAATTGGGTAAATGTTACATTAAGGATCCTCTTCATTAGGATATCATTCATAGATGGTATGATGAACCTTCCTCTGTAACTCTCAGACTTGTCCTAAATGAAAAATATATTTCGTTGGTCAGACCAAAATTCCTTTTTTGTGGTATAACTTACCCCTCTGATCTCTTAAAGCATATCAAATCACATGTCTCCTCACAACATCACCCCCAAATTGCATAGTAAGGTCACAAAAATGTAGGAAATGATCACCAACTTAAAATTAGTAGCTATTGATCATTAAACTAATTCTCCTTAACTGCACCTTGGGAAATATACAGGGAACACTGGAGTATATTCATACTGATGGTAGGGTGAAATTTTATTTTAAAAAATGCTGAAGTGATCAAAGCATTTTGAACTTGGGTCCTAATGAAAAAGTCAGCATTACAACAGTGAAAATATACTAAGGTGTTCCTGTTCACTCTGCAGTGGATGTTGAA